AATGTTTCCGTTAATTGGTTGACCCTTAGCATTAGTTCTTGGACATTGGAACCGTTAATAATGATATTTGCATCGTCTGCATAAAGTATGAATTTTACCATCATGTTAGAAATACCGGGAAGATCGTTGATGTATATGACGAAAAGTAAGGGACCTAATATGCTCCCTTGTGGAACACCATGCACAATAGGCTTGTGGGACGAATGTGAATTGTTTATTGCTACATATTGGCTTCTATCACTTAGGTATGACTCAAACCACTTTAGAGCTATTCCCCGGATGCCGTAGTGCTGTAATTTATTTAGCAGTGTAGCATGATCCAGGACGTCAAACGCTTTACTGTAATCTAATAATAGCAGTAGTGAAATTTGGTTTTTGCTAAGAGAGTGTAAAATTGTACTTTGTGCATTAAGAAGAGCATGTTCACAGGACCTTCCTGGACGGAAACCATACTGATTTTCGAATAAAGAACTATTTTTGTTGAGAAATTCTAAGACACGTCGGTGCATCAGTTTTTCGTAGATTTTTGAGAAGGAACCTAAGAGAGAGATGGGTCTATAATTTTCAACGTCAAGTTTAGAGCCTCCTTTATGGATGGGAGTTACTTTGGCAATTTTAAGGGCCTGTGGAAATATGCCTGTACTTAAGGATTCGTTGATAACTTTTGCTAATATAGCAAGGAAACTATCGCTGGAACTGGCTACTTTTAGTGGTTCAATTTTTGTGTCAAGGGTCGCTTTGTTCTTCAAACCAATAATAATTCTTTGAATTTCGATCGTTTCGGCAGGCTGTAGATAGATTGATTGAGAACAGGATGTGGGCAGATATTCCTGGAACCCCCCAGGGTCAAAGGTCTGACGGGCACTTATCTGAGTTTTGATGTTCGTAGCAATGTTCGAGAAATAGTCATTAAACCTTTCAGCCACGGTATCTTCAGAACTCAAAATCGACCCGTCCGAACCTTTAAGTCTTAACTGCTCAGTTTTCCTGCTTCTACCAAGTAAACCGTTGATTATTTGCCATTGTTTTTTGGAGCAGTCCTGGTATTTTTCGAATTGTTTTTTATAGTATCGTTGTTTGGCAATGTTGACATGTTTTTTACAGAAAAGTTTTAGCTTTTTATAGGCCTCTATATTATTCATTGTAGGTTCAAGTACTTTACTATGATAACTTTCTTGTTTCCGCGCACATGCTTCTTCAAGCCAGGGTAATATCCAGGGTTTAGTATTAGAACGCTCATGCTCACGGCGAATATGATTGATTTTTAGTGGATAGGCAGTGTTATAGTGCTTGGTGTATATATCTGCAAGTTTTCCGTATTGCAGACTAGCGTCGTCTGTATTTAATATCTCTTCCCACGTTTCCCCATCGATGAGTTCCCTAAAAGCAGCATTGTTGGCCTCATTTATGACACGTGTTTCATAACTAAGTTTAGGTTGTGTGTTAGTGGGTAGCCTGAGATGTTGTTGCGAAGAGTTACTTAGTTTAAAAGTGGTAACGATAGCAAGATGATCCGATAAATCCACCGTTACAACGTTACTGCTTATTGTGTGACTTATATTATTTGTGTAGACATGATCAATTAAGGTAGCACTATGATCGGTGACTCGTGTCGGCCTTGAAACCGTCTGAACAAATCCATACTTGGCAAGGAGGTCTATGAGGTTCTGTCCAGAAATATCAGTTTTGAATTTTATAAGATCAATGTTCGCGTCCCCAAAAAACATGATATGCTTGCGAGAATGTCTGTCTAGACCTCGTAGCACCTTTTCCAAAGAATTTAAGAAGTTCTGAGTACCTTTAGATGGGGACCTGTAAAAGTTTATCAATACTTTTGTTTGGTTTGTGCCTTTGCAATTATGCACCTTAACTAATTGAAATTCCGCGCACGTGTCTTCGGGATCTGTGGTTGCCTTAAGATTTTCTATATTTTCGGGATCACAAACCCTCTTATTAATGTAAATTACAAGGCCACCACCTTTTCCTGATTTGCGTAATGGTTCCTGAACAATAGGCTCGTGAAACCCTTCAACCCATATCCAAAAACTTTTTAATTTCCTACATTCTCAATTTTTTCGTTTTCTGTGGCCCGCTCGCTTCGCTCGCATAAAAAGTCTTTGTATTCGCGCGGTTCAAAGATTTTTCATGGCGGATTCCAGATTCTCAATTTTACTTTTTTAGGGCCCGGAATGCTTTTTAATAGATAATCCTAGGTTACTTTTGGGGGCGAAGCCCCCGAAAATTTTGGAAATTTAAACTAGATTTGGCCTCCTGGAACGAATCTGACAATGGAGAACGATTTTAGCATACTATTTTCTGACTTCAATTTTTATTGGGATAAATTGTCTGGATTCTAGAATCCCTAAACACTTGGCTTAACTAAAGCACGAAATAGGAGACAGCATGAATTATCAAGAGTTTATAATTTTGGCAAAAATGTTTTCTCATCTACTACCATCACTACCATCACTACCATCACTTTCTGCTTTCAAGCTATAAACTAATACAGGGTTAAGGGAATTTGGAGAAGGAAGCAAGTATGAGACCAAATATTCAAGAAACAAGGAATTTAAATTTTCCAAAAATATAATAATGACTATTAGTATTTACTATTTAAAGAAGATAGGAAACGCAACAAAGAATTCTTATGCATTATGCATGTTTAGAGTGATACCTAACTAGGATCAGGAGCATGTAAAGATAATTCATGCAAAAATGATTTCCACCCGATTAATGTCTTAATGTGATAGCTACCTCAACTTAGGTTGATTCGGTATGAATTCATAGGGCTGATGCCCTGGGTGACACCTCTTAAAATGAACTTTTAGATTATCGGCTCGAGTACAAACTTCTTTGCATATACCGCATTGGACCTCGGATTTAGACTTGAACTTTGGACGATTCATGATTAATAGGAAGTTCAACAACCCAGTGTAAGCAACAAAAGCAAGCAGGCAGAGTGACTAATTAAAAAACTAGAAAAAGTCCAATTCTCACGCCCATTCTAGCATCATCGTACAGATTAGTTAAAACGCCCTGTTTTTCTGATATTTTCTCATGCCACACGAATTTGGGCTGGGTGTGTGCAGTGTGATACACACATTGAAGACGTGATGTGTATATGCTACTGCTTGCCAATACAGATATCGGGTGACACTGTAGACATATCCGGTTTCATAGACTAGATAAGTAGATAGTAAAATGTTAATAAAGTAATAATGACAACTATTTATGTCGTGTACGCGAAAATGCCCCAATAATTAGCATCTGGTTAGTGGTTACTTGATGCACAGATTTTGTAGCTAATAGCAACAAACTTTGGTCTGTGAAACGAAATTTGATAGACTGGATCAGTGGATCCCTGACTGAGGACATTTAAATAACGGTCCAGCAACTTTTAGTCTGCTCTTTCATTTAAATTCCTACTGAAATATTATCGAAAATTCTCAGAGTTGGCTCTCGAATTTCCTACTTTTTGTCAAAAATTTCCTACTTTTAAAAATTTCCTACATTCTTAGAATGCGAGAATGCGGGTTTTTGGATATGGGCCCTTCAATTTTAATGTCGGAGATTCCGTTTGGTAATTTATCTAACTTCAAATTGGTTTCGTTAAGACACAAAACGTCATACTTAGTATAACTGTCGATTTCTTCACGGAAGTATGTGATGTTCTTTACTAATGATCGCACATTAAGAGAAAACACTTTCAGTTCATCACGGGAGGAACTTTTAATGTTCGATGGCTGCTGATACTTACAATTGGTTAATATATCGCTGATTTCGTTCCAGTATTGGTAACTTTCATCGTTATCCTGATCTAAAGCGTTACCAATCAAATCTAAACCATGTGAGCGGTCGTATGGATTGAAAAGAGCAGTGATTCGGCTGCTACAGTCCATAAAAAGATCATAAGATGTCACATAATAACCTGGGATTAACGACTCACAGCACTTTATGCAGCCTAAATTATCTCTAAAACACTTTTTATGAATGTACTCATCGCACCATGGACAAAACCTAATGTTTAATCTAGAATAACAAAACCCGTTACAGGCCATGCACTTTGTTTTAAAATTAGTCTTGTTAACACTACTTCTTTTATTCGTCGGGACATCAGAGGCATTGATTGGGAGAATTGAGCTTATGCATTCATAGCAGAACCATGGGTTCCCAGAATTTATAATGTGCCGGGCATCGTTTTTTGATAGTTTCTGGCATTTTAAATGTTTACGTTCAGCACATAGGTCACAAATTAGGTCAGGAGAACTTTTAGGGATACGAACATAACATTTGTCGCAATTGGGCTGTGAGCCGTGTTGCCTTTGATTACTTCGCTCCACTTTCAGTGACAGAATAAAGTAAGAGTTGAAAACAGATTAAATAAATGAAACAAAAACTGAAAAAAGAACAATTGATATTAATATATAATCTGATGGGTGTAGACAGTAGGCTGGTCAGATCCGTTTGCAAGAACTTTCAGTTCTGTGTGCAAGACAAGATCGTGACGGTTGGGCCTATTTGCTACTTAAAAACTACAGATTATCGTCTGCTCAATATCAACAGGCTCTGCAACTAGTTCTCTTAAAGAATTTGATAATAAATAACAGAAAAGATTGACTAATGCGAGGGGCGCACGGACTGTGGATCAGTCATAGTCTGTCAGAAGTCGGTAGTTGGGTAGATTGTCGATGTAATTTGTCGTTTTCTGTATCAATTGTACAATGTAATAAGATGTAATAATATACAGTAGGCCTCGTATTTTGTTTTATAAATGGAGTATTAAACGATGCGATTAAGGGACTGTAATTAGAATTAATCCTGCCATAACCTTCAACTTCTACATGCATGACCGACTCCTAACTGCACTAAATTGTATGTTGCCTGCACTAAAAATCATGTATATATATATGATTAATTATATATAATTAATATACAAATTACATAATATTATCTCTAATTGTACGTTCCACACTCACGCTGTAGTAATCATGGTAACTCACCTGACACCATTGCTTCCGTGATTGTTATTCGGTTCGGGTGAAATCTGAAAGTCGAGTTTTTAAATTGATAAAATCTAGATTTAATTCGAGACTAAAGATATTGGGCAAGATGTTTCCTATTATATAAAATACAAGGTCAATCAAAGAAAAGTAAACCTTAATACTAGTTCTACTGCGTTTCTTTTTCTTGTGTTTGTCCTTATGTTTCTTGTCACCGCGAACCACGAAGTCTCGTGTCAAAGTCTTGTCCGTCTCTGTCGTTGGAGATGGTGTCAGCGGAACTTGTCCACGGGGCGAAAATCCGCGCCCACCCGGTCTGGGTGGCTTTTTGGCGCTGTTGGGCGGACGTTTGACGGTTTTGCTTGTAGCAGAGTTTGCCGTGTTCTGTTAAATGTATTGTAATGTCAAGTCACGTGGTCAGAGTTGTTCTATCTATCAGCTAGTGAAGCATCTCTACTAACCACTCTAATCGGGTCCAGACTCTACGGCGTGAGACACTACGGCGTGAGACACTACGGCGTGAGACACTACGGCGTGAGACACTACGGCGTGAGACACTACGGCGTGAGACACTACGGCGTGAGACACTACGGCGTGAGACACTACGGCGTGAGACACTACGGCGTGAGACACTACGGCGTGAGACACTACGGCGTGAGACACTACGGCGTGAGACACTGCGGCGTGAGACTCTACGGCGTGAGACACTGCGGCGTGAGACACTGCGGCGTGAGACACTACGGCGTGAGACACTACGGCGTGAGACACTACGGCGTGAGACACTACGGCGTGAGACACTACGGCGTGAGACTCTACGGCGTGAGACACTACGGCGTGAGACACTACGGCGTGAGACACTACGGCGTGAGACACTACGGCGTGAGACACTACGGCGTGAGACACTACGGCGTGAGACACTACGGCGTGAGACACTACGGCGTGAGACACTACGGCGTGAGACACTACGGCGTGAGACACTACGGCGTGAGACACTACGGCGTGAGACACTACGGCGTGAGACACTACGGCGTGAGACACTACGGCGTGAGACACTACGGCGTGAGACACTACGGCGTGAGACACTACGGCGTGAGACACTACGGCGTGAGACACTACGGCGTGAGACACTACGGCGTGAGACACTACGGCGTGAGACACTACGGCGTGAGACACTACGGCGTGAGACACTACGGCGTGAGACACTACGGCGTGAGACACTACGGCGTGAGACACTACGGCGTGAGACACTACGGCGTGAGACACTACGGCGTGAGACTCTACGGCGTGAGACACTACGGCGTGAGACACTACGGCGGCGCCCTACAAATGAGTACTCTACGGCGTGGAGATGTGAAAAACGTATAATTAGTGATGTGACGTATAATTAGTGATGTGATCCACCAACTACGATCGTGCCCAAACATTGAGGCTACAGTAAACAAATACTTGATCTTGCTAGAGTATGTTGAGTAGAAAGAACAGATATCGTGGAGTTGGGTATGGCAATTCCTTCGCCTCTTAGCGGGTGTCTTGCCAACACTCAACCTGTCGATGTGAAAGTCAGTTATGACTTGCTGCTCTTTGATAGCCCGCACATACTCTTGAACAGATGGCTTTGGGCGATGCACTCGGGATTTAAATCCTCTGTGAAAGCCCTCAACCATGTTCGAGGTTCGAGGGAACTCTGGATCCCGAATGATTCTGGCGAAATGGTTCCAGAATCCTAAGGGATATGCAGGGAGCAGCCTCACCTCACTGTCCACAATGACTGACCCAAGGTAAGTCTTCTCGAAATAATTAACTATAGACATTAGCTTAGGAAAGTTTGTCTGTATATAGTACGTTATTTCATAGAATACTTCCTCAAGAAGAGTCTGGTTCACTGCAGGAGAGGTCTCTACCAGGGCTTCGGAGATGAGGACTTCTCTTCGCTTCGAAGCTGCGAGGTCTGCTTCGTGGGTGTGCGTTTTCTGACTTAATGTAAGGGTGTTGTCTGACAGGGTAGGATAACACAGACAGGGACACTTCGTAGGAGGAGTGTGCTTGCAGCACCGCCAGGCGCTGCTATGATGTACATGTGAACTCTACCCTGTATCTAGCCCATTTCTAGGTCAGTTATATCCTACTGATGGATCACATCACTAATTATACGTCACTAATTAGTGATATGATCTGATCTCCCTGGGCCCCCTAGTAATGAGGGGGCCTGGCCGTCGGCCTCCCTAAAATGGTGAATGATTTTTAAAGTGAATTGAGTATCCAAATTGTACAATTTCACCAATTTTCACCTTTTTTCCGATGATTATATTTGGCTTCTAGTTTCAGTTTTGAAAACAATAGATTTTGAGAAAATGGTAACTGTTAATGAACATGTCAAAACTTAGCACTTGGTATTGTCGTATAGTACGAGAAAACACATTTAATATTTTAATTTGATATTTTGAAATTAAAAATTAAAATGATGAAAAATAGTGCATAATGGTGAATCATTTTGATGGTGAACCGAGTTCTAAATTTAAGTTTTGATGGTGAACCGAGTTCTAAATTTAAGTTTTGAACAAGAAGTCTATGCTCAACTCGATCCTCCAATGAGCGGTCTGACTAATGAAGATTGAACTAAACTTCGTTGACAGTAGCAGCATTTAAATAACGGGCACCGCTGGAGAATCTCATCATTCAATTCCGATTCCTCCACATCTTCCAACTGCTACAGAAACAAATCGAATATAAGAAAAAGCCGCCGTAGAGTCCTGTTTTATACGCCACCGTAGAATCTTACGCTGTAGAGTCCCGAACCCAATCTAATATACCCCTACATGTCGACTAGTCAGACATCTTGCTCGCTCCAACATACCCCTACATGTCAACTAGTCAGACATCTTGCTCGCTCTAACATACCCCTACATATCAACTAGTCAGACATCTTGCTCGCTCTAACATACCCCTACATGTCAACTAGTCAGACATCTTGCTCGCTCTAACATACCCCTACATGTCAACTAGTCAGACATCTTGCTCGCTCTAACATACCCCTACATGTCAACTAGTCAGACATCTTGCTCGCTCTAACATACCCCTACATGTCAACTAGTCAGACATCTTGCTCGTTCTAACATACCCCTACAAGTCAACTAGTCAGACATCTTGCTCGCTCTAACATACCCCTACATGTCAACTAGTCAGACATCTTGCTCGCTCTAACATACCCCTACATGTCAACTAGTCAGACATCTTGCTCGTTCTAACATACCCCTACATGTCAACTAGTCAGACATCTTGCTCGTTCTAACATACCTCTACATGTCAACTAGTCAGACATCTTGCTCGCTCCAACATACCCCTACATGTCAACTAGTCAGACATCTTGCTCGCTCCAACATACCCCTACATGTCAACTAGTCAGACATCTTGCTCGCTCTAACATACCCCTACATGTCAACTAGTCAGACATCTTGCTCGCTCTAACATACCTCTACATGTCAACTAGTCAGACATCTTGCTCGCTCCAACATACCCCTACATGTCAACTAGTCAGACATCTTGCTCGCTCTAACATACCTCTACATGTCAACTAGTCAGACATCTTGCTCGCTCCAACATACCCCTACATGTCAACTAGTCAGACATCTTGCTCGCTCCAACATACCCCTACAAGTCAACTAGTCAGACATCTTGCTCGCTCCAACATACCCCTACATATCAAATAGTCAGACATCTTGCTCGCTCTAACATACCTCTACATGTCAACTAGTCAGACATCTTGCTCGCTCTAACATACCCCTACATATCAAATAGTCAGACATCTTGCTCGCTCTAACATACCTCTACATGTCAACTAGTCAGACATCTTGCTCGCTCTAACATACCTCTACATGTCAACTAGTCAGACATCTTGCTCGCTCTAACATACCCCTACATATCAAATAGTCAGACATCTTGCTCGCTCTAACATACCCCTACATGTCAACTAGTCAGACATCTTGCTCGCTCTAACATACCCCTACATGTCAACTAGTCAGACATCTTGCTCGCTCTAACATACCCCTACATGTCAACTAGTCAGACATCTTGCTCGCTCTAACATACCCCTACATGTCAACTAGTCAGACATCTTGCTCGCTCTAACATACCCCTACATGTCAACTAGTCAGACATCTTGCTCGCTCTAACATACCCCTACATGTCAACTAGTCAGACATCTTGCTCGCTCTAACATACCCCTACAAGTCAACTAGTCAGACATCTTGCTCGCTCTAACATACCCCTACATATCAAATAGTCAGACATCTTGCTCGCTCTAACATACCTCTACATGTCAACTAGTCAGACATCTTGCTCGCTCTAACATACCTCTACATGTCAACTAGTCAGACATCTTGCTCGCTCTAACATACCCCTACATATCAAATAGTCAGACATCTTGCTCGCTCCAACATACCCCTACAAGGCTGTAGGACTATTGAGCGGAGGACTGTTGAGCGTAGGACTGTAGGTCGGTGAAGGTCGGAAGTAGGACTGTAGAGCGGTGTCAAATCGCCAGGGTAGGACTCTAGAGCGGCCGCCCTTATAGATCTCACAACATGAGGACTTTAGAGCGGTACGATCCTAAAATGAGGACTGTAGAGCGGTGGACTGTTGAGCGGTTGACTGTAGGTCGGTGAAGGTCGGAAGTAGGACTGGAGAGCGGCCCTCTCTTATAGATCCCATAACATGAGGACTCTAGAGCGGTACCCTCCTATAACATGAGGACTCTATAGCGGTTGAAAATTTGAAGATTGAACACTCAACGAAGCTAAATTATACATTGTAACTCGTGATTGATTATGGTCATGACATTCTAGGATGATAACGTTTTACTTTATTAAAGAGTCATGGAGTTAATAAACATTTTCATTTACTTATTATAAATATTTCATTACTAATATTATAGTGTAACTTAATTTAAGATTATTGGTCGGTCTCAACGTCTTCCAAATGATTGAAATATTCCCCTGCTACTCAAAAATGTAAAACGTGTCTTCGGTATTTTAGTGAACTGTTCGTA